CTGCCAGAAGTTTACCTCAGGCCAGGTTTCAAGAGGTCCCAATGTCTCATTTCTGCTTGCTCTGCCCAGCTCTGTGGTTGCTGCTGTCCCCTCTGGCTGTTGGGATTCATTCACCCGGACCTGGCCTTCGCTGACCCTGATTTGCAGTAGCACAGGGGGCTCCTGCTCAGACTGGGACCAGTTGAGCTGCTGCCTCTCCCAAATGCTTTCCTGGCATTCCCTTCCCCTGCCTTGAGGTGCACAGCCCTTTCCTGCATCCAAAACAACCCCATCAGAGCAGCAGGGGGGATCTGACATCTCTGCTCGCTCGGTTGCTCTGGGAAGGGCTCTCTCCTCCAGCCAGCACCTCCTTCTCCAGAGCCTCTCTCCACAGTGAAAGCAAGAAGGGTGAAATCTCTCCCAGTTAGTCACAACTTCCCATTCCACACCGTCTACTGGGCTGCTCTGTGTTGCAGGAGGGGTAGAAGAGGTCTGAGAGATGAACACCAGCATGAGGGATCAACAGACTTGAGTAAAGGAATATGCAGGTGTTAGAAATGTCTTTCAAATAGGATAAAAGGTACCAATTAACTACAGATAAATTTAGGATGGCAATTAAGATGTTCTCATCGTTAGATCCATTATGTTATTGTCACCGCCTCCCATTCAGAAGGGACAGTGAGACAAAAGTTGTGCAGAATGACCTGGTGCTGGCAGTATCAGATGTCTGGGACTCGGTAGTTGAGCAAGCTCTTTCCAACTGAAATCTTCTGAAAATTAAGAGTGTGCTAGAAAGGTCTGAGGAAGTCTTAATGGGAATATCTTTAGATCCCATGAATTCCAGGTGGGCTTAGGATGCAAAACACCTCGCAGGGCTTTCCACAGGGACCCTCCATGGAAGCAGSCACTGGGTAAATGCTGCAATTTGGAATCACTGGGGGGGATCTGTCTGAGAGGAAAGCTGGGTTTCACCTGGACACAGGTCTGGTGCATACCAGACCAAGCCCATTCAGGTACACTTGGAATGTTTGCTAGCACAGCAGCTGTGTCCTGCAGTCAGTGTACCTGAAATAGAAGACTTTTAAAGGCAGGCATTCTGTGTATTGTAAATTCAGCAGCCCTCCAGGTTAATCTAGGCAGGGTGCATCTGTTAAGCCTAGTGCAGTGATTTTAAAAGATCACTGGATTTTGCTTGTGCTAAACCCCATGTGTTCTTTTGCATTTTCTTTTCCCAGTAAGCCAAGTGTAAACAGAAATAATGCTCAGGATCTTCTAATTGCTGCAATGTGTAATCCACGTGCTGAAGCGCCATTCGCGACAGATTTTCTCAGGAAGCGAAAGGTAAAGCACAAAGTCACCCCTGAAATGATTCGGTTCTGGGTGAGAAATTGAAACACTAAATTAACGTGACATCAGGCACTTCGGAATGGCTATGGATCTAGTAAAGAAAATAAATAGGGTAAAATTCCTGCAGGACCAATGGAGACCAAACATCCCAGATCCAAGTGTTATCCAGGACTGCGAGTAACCTAGCTAATATTTACTTTGCTAKCAGCCATGTGTGAAATCAGATATTTTCACAAGTATTTCAGAATCTGATCCCGGCTGATGCCTTGGCATTTGCGGTGAAAATCGCTGTTTACTAAGAAAAATGTCCCCAGGACTGCAACAGGGATACAAGTTTTCTGTCTGCAGAAAGTGTTGAAACAAGATACAGAAGCAAACACCAGGGACACTATTCACTACAGAAACAAGCTCTCCTTCCAGCACCTCCCAGAGACGTGGGAGAAGGAACACATGGCAACACGGCTCATAATAATCCTGCTTACTATGGGGCTTTTCATTGGGAAAATAAAATGAACATGTTATACTTTTATTTTGCTCTTTGTATCAAATTACCTGTTGTTACGTGACTGTTCTGAGCTGCAGMAAAGACAAAATACTCCTTCATCCAGAGCAAACAGTGAAGTACCTGCCACAATCAAAGGGTTTCTTASCTGCCCATGAAGTTTGGGGTTCGACTCAGGTGAGGAAATGAGAAGGGGCTGCCAGGGGAGGGGACAAGAGACTTGAGAAGGCTCTAGAGCCTTAGCCCTGAGTGATGCTCTGAACTACCCCGCCTCTTCCTGCCCCTCTGTTCTCTCCAAAATTGATAACAAGAAATAAAGCAGTCCTACTGAATGGGTCAAACGAGCTTTTGAATCCTCCCTTTCCCCCAAATCAGCGAATCTGCCATGTAGGTAATTAATCTGCCAGTCTCATCCTGGTAGCACTGCCTCTGCAGTGTGACATATTCTAAGAGGTCCTGAGMTCATGGTTTCCTTCACCCACCCTTTACTCTTTTTCTGTGTCCCTAGTCCTCTGTTTTTTTAATGATGCCCTCCTCTGGCTCAAATTGACTTGGGCAGTAATTTGTCATGTCATCTTCAGTAAAATTTCAAACAAAATTGTGGAAGATTCATGGAGGAGCAAAAGTGCCACATCTTTTATGCATTTCAGATGGTAAAGTATAAATCAAAATGCCCAGGGACCTGTTTGCAGAGAGACAACAAGAGAAAAAAATGTAAACYACAGCRAGTAAAGTTAGACTGTGTCTGTGTCTGATCCTGCACTGACCAGACTGGGTTTTAATTTTTAAGGGACACATTGTCTTTATGTCAGGGTGGATGCAGTGGGTAAAATAGATCTGAGAGAGRCCCAGCCCTTCCTCTCTTATAAAATCAGGGTGAATGCTAAACCCTAAGGGACACAGGTAAAAAGCTTCAGGCTGAGGGAAAAGAAATCAGGGTTAGGACCTGATGTTATAACTCCTTAAAGGGGTTGGTCATTTTTACCCTTGAGAAAAATGATTTCTCTCAGATGATTTTGGCCTTTTAAATTTAACTTCAAAAATCTTCTGCATATCTCTTTAGTGGGAATGATTCCGTTGTTGTGACCTGCAGGTCTGAAACCATTGTATAACTGGGCAGTTAAATGCCATGGGAAGTGAATGGGAACTGGCTGAGCAGTTTCTTATAAACCACCTTTGCAGTMTGAGGGTGAAGCCTCTCCCTCCAAACCAGGGCAGTGTGTGTTTASAGAGAGCACAGCATCACTGGGGTGTGAAGGGCTGGGCAGCTGCTGGGGTGTTCAGCAGGGGAATCTGCAGTCCTGCCTGCCTGGATATCCACAGCCTGCACCAACAGCTCCAGGGAGCCACAGGCCAGCCGTGTCTGCCTCTGATCAATCCCCTACTCCACCCTCACAGGCACAAATCCCCTCACACAGCCTCCTCCTCCTTCTTCTTTTTTTTTTCCTTTTTTTTTTTTTTTTTTTAAATGCATGATCGATCTATTTTAAAAGTACACACAGCTATATGCTAGGAGAGATTAAACAGCAGCATAGAAAGAGATCTCCTGTGGGGAAATCTGATTATACCCTTTTAGGGGGGTTTTCTTGTTGAGAGTCAGCCTGCATATTTCCACACTGTATTTGAAGGTCACTCATTGTCTTATGCTGCTTCCTACAACAAAATTGAGAGGAGTATGATGAGATCTCATAGTCACCAGAGAGCTCATTTGTTCAGCAAATCCAGCCATGACCCTTTCTAATGTTTTCTTTCCCTTCCTTCCCTCACTTCTGCTGGCTTGTTTTTAGCTGAATGCTTCCACTAAAACCTCCCTATCAATATTCAGGGATGATTTCTGAAGTTTGGATAAAGTCTATCAAATCCAGCAGAGACCAAAGTGCCAGGCATATTTGTAGAGTCTAAACAACTATCAGAGACAACCAGATCAAAGACTTTGGGTAACTTCTGCCCCTTCTTTGGTGGGAGAGGTACCATTATGAATTCTTTATTTTATCAAATACATTTGAATGTGAAGGTAGCTCACGTATGAAGCTCAGACTGGGTCCAGCTCTGCAAATGCTGGCACTGCTATTTGTTTCCAGGAGTTGTGAGCAGCCCAGAGGGAAAATGAGCACGCTGTGCTGTTGCCTGGGTTGGCCCTGGTGTTGATTCAGATGTTCATGGAGAACAGACCCTGTGGCCAATTAAAAGTGCTCTGTTTCCTTGTGAGTCTCTTCCCCATGTGAAAGGCAGAGCTAAAGCTTTTCAGTGTATGAAACATTCAGTCTCTGGGCATGGAATCTGTCTGCCTATGCACAGCCTGTGAACACTGAAAAATTGTAGGAAGTTTGGAAAGGAAAGACTTTAAACTCAGGGATTTGTAATCTTCCGTGGTTGCTCTCCAAGCAGTATTTCCGTCTGCCTTCTGCTTAATGAATTAGCAAAGCTAAGAGAGGAGCATGAACTTTCAGAAGATATCCTTCAGTGCCCCTTATGGCTGATGTGGAAATGATGCTCATTATAGYCCTGTGTGAGCAGGATAGGTAACCCAAAGATGTCAGGAAGGGCTGCAGGCTAAAAAGCTAACCAAAGATTCCTTTTAGACATTTTATTCCTCCCAGGGATGRCATTAATAGCACCACTAATTTTGTAGTTTTATTTAATTCCCAGGGATTGTGCCAAATCAGAGTGTTCTGTGAAAACAGTGTCAGCCTGCTCTGAAATCCATCAAGGTTCCCAGGAATGACAAACGGGACCAAAGGCTGGGTCAGGAGTTTTCTGGGAGGAGCAGAGTTCTGGGCTCTGCTGGTGCCTGAGCTGTAGCAGAGCTCTCTCTGCCCATGGCACAGCAGTGGAAGCCTCAGCTGGGGTGGGAGCTTTCCAGGGAGGGCAAATGAACCTTTTCCAATCCCACACTCATTGCCCTGTGTGCAYCTGCCCATGAAGGGTTCAGGGTGGGCACCAACAGCCAAACCAGAGGGTGCTGCACAAGGAGAGCTGTTATTACCAGCTTATATTACCAGGGCCCAATTATCTAAATAGATTTACTGGAGATGAGGGGAATGAGGGTGCCAGAAAGAGGGGGATGGGTGGGAAAAATCCTTTCAGTAATTGCAATGAAGTGATCAAATAAATTCTGGAAACCGGAAGCCTGCTCTGCACTGTCTCCCTCYCTCTGCTCCCTCAAGTTTCATTAGTTTGTACAAAGGAGCATTGGGGAGATTATTTATCTTTGATCATCCTGGGATCAATCTGCAAATGTGCAAGCTCCCTTYAAATTTGTGTTTGCCAACTGTTAAGCTCCATGTTACACCCTGGTTCTTAAAGGCCTCAGGAAGAGGGAAACAGGAGACAAAGAGGAGATGGATGACTTCAGTGAGACATTTCAGGAATTGTTTGAAGACAGCAGCTGCCCCCCCATCCTGATTAGATGCACAGCACTCTGCCAGCTTGATTTCAAAAGCAGGTAAGGGTGCAGGAAAGGGGTAGAGAGAATGACTGCAGAAGGGAGCCAGCCAGCAGCTACAGCAAGGCTGATTTTTCTCATCCTATTTATTCAGATGGCTTGTTAGGGATTGTTTTATTCCTGATKCTCTTTCACACCTAATTTATTACTTTTCCATATTTTTGCACCCTTCCTAATTCCACAGGTTCAAGATGGCTGTTTTCCGCAGCCAGCTAATACCTTCAGAGCGGATAATCTGGGGATTCTCTATGTTTGATATACTTACCACACTGCTGCTCAACTCCCATGGTGTGCCTCAAATATTTATTTTAAAAAAGAAAAGAAAAGAAAAAATTCCCCAAACCTTCCCCAGGCTGTTTCCTCCACAGCCTTTGCTGCTGAAGCTTCCCGTGCCACCTTCCACGGGGAGCTTGCGGGATGCGGATCTTTTTGTTTATTCATTTATTTTTGGCAGTATCACTTGCTGCCTCTGAAGAAGGGGGTGAAGGCATTTGAGAAGATGATTTGTACACATTCATCACGGCTCTGGAGCCCCGTGTGCCGTGCAGGTGACAAACGGCCGTGTCCCAGCCCCAGAGCTGGCTGCACGCTGGCCACCCAGCCACAATCTGCATTTCACTTGCCTCAGGCTGCTCATGTTTTTGCAGAGGACAGGGCAAAGATCCACCTTCAACAAAAGCTTTTTAAAATGAGACTCATAAAAGTGTGCCAGGAACTCAGTGAGAGTCATAAAAGTGTGCCAGGAACTCGGTTTCCTTACCTGCAACCAAGGGAGAGAAAAGTGAGGAAAATGGCTCTGTGTTTGAATTGCTACTTTTTGGTGTTATTTTTTTTTAATGAATTACTAAATATTGAACATCAAAAGTTTATAATTTGAGCAATTTTCTCTTCCAAGATTTGGAAYTTTCCTTATTGACTGGCTGTAAGCYGTGCTTAAACGTTAGACCTGTGTAATACCCTGTGTCTCCAGTGGCCTGGACAATTCTGGAAAGCAGCTTTTGCTAGAACTGGAAGGAAATCTCCAGGATACTATACCATCCCAGATTTTAGGAATGGCCCATGAGACAAGGKACTGTGTGTCTCTCACCTGGGACACTGCATTTCCCCTGTCCCATTCCAAGACMCAGCTCCTGGTAGAATGCTGGCTCCCAGAACACAGAAAAGGGCAGAAAAGCGGCTTCTGGCCCCAAACAGTGTGAACATTGATGTGTGACCCAGCACAAAATCCTGCTCCTCATTCCCTGGAGGGGATGAGGCTGATTTTAGATTTATGAGCCTGGATGTTTTCCCCTGGCTAGGTTTGGTCTCTCCCTCCTGCAGGAGCTGTTGGAAAGCAGTGTTTTCCAAGCAGTGACTCCCAGAGCTCACRGCTGGCGTGGGCAGCACAAAATCTCTGCTCAGAGAGGCTCCTCTCTGGTGGTTCAAAGCCTCCTTGCATGGTTCTGCCAAACTTCTTTGCTTTTTCTTGATGGTCTGCGAGATAAAAAAGCCTCTACAGAACCACTGCTGTGGGCAACAGGGACCCTGTGGTTTCCAGCAGCTGGTGGTGATGTTGATGATATATATAGAAAAGGAAATTATATTTAACAAAAGAGGAATATTTGTCCCCTGCATGAGATTTTCTCCATCTCTTCACTCCCTTTCTGTTTACTCTTGCAGGGAGGTGGTGGCTGGCTGGGCAGTACTGAGCTTTCCTCTGCTGCCCAGTTCCTGCTTGGGACTGGAGTGGCTGGGGCAGCTGTGGGGCTGGAGATTCCATGGGGCCAGAGCTGTTGTGGGGTCAGAAATTCCACGGGGATGGAAATTCCATGGGGCCAGAGCTGCCAAGGGAATGGAGATGTCATAGGGATGGAGCTGCCATGGAGATTCCATGGGAATGGAGATTCCATAGGGCTGGAGCTACCATGGAGGGAATGGAAATTCCATGGGGCTGGCTCTTGTACCCCTTCAAGGAGAGAATGAATGTCCACTGAAGGCACCTTTGTRTCAAAGCCCCACGAGAGGACAAGCCCTGCTCCTGAGCAGATGTGTAGATTTTATCTCGACACTCTACAAGAACATCAGGGCATCTGCCAGAGATTTTCAGCCGCTCTCTGTATTCCTGTTACAATGTTATTACTTTTTTTCCTTTTTTTTTTCCTTTTTCCTTTCTTTACCCTAACTCATTTCACTGGCACTTYTACCAGCATTTCCTACATTTTTCAAGATGTGATAGCCTGGCTTTCTGATGACCTATCTCAAGACAAAGTTGGGCTACTTATCAGTGAAAGGTACCTTGTCAGCCAGCTCGGYAGCAGCGTTCTATTTAAACAGAAGCAGATGAAAAGCCATGGGGAATAGAAACCACCGCCGCAAAGGTATTAAAGAAGATGCTGTTGTGTGAACAGGGATATGGGGGGAGGTGAAGTTGGAGGCTTTGGAGTTTGCTGTGGGCTCAGTGAATAACTTATTCTGTCTAACACTTGCCATGAAATATCCTAACAATACTCAGGCACTAGTGGTAGCAGAGATATTATCACTTGGGGAGACAACAGAAATGGCCTTATCATTTTGACAATGGCTTTTTTTCCCTTATTATCGCTAAGTAACAATATCTCTATTTCACTGCCACTACTGAGCCATTGTTTTTTTGATAAATAGAGTCCTTTTTGTGATTTCTTTTTCCCCACTTGTATTTTATCCTTTGTGCATGTGTGCATGTGAGCAGATTTTAAAAAAAGATGTTCCACCTGATGGTGCAATATTAAAGACTGCACCTCTTAAAAACAGAAGAAGCTGTCAGAGGGGATATCTATGCAAATGTATGGCTTACCTGGTGTCTGAGGGACTTGTGGTGCCCCTAGGCTCAAAGAAACTCCATTCTCCTTGGGTCCTCACACCCCTGAATGAAAAATAGGAGTGTATAAGAGCTGGAGTGCACACGAGATGYTAGTACCCGTTGGTCAGCAGGGATGTCATATTGCATCAAGAAATGCCTGTAACATAATCTGCGTGCAAAATCTGTGTGCAAAATCTGTGTGCAACTGGTTTCTTCTCAGGTGCCCACAGAAAAGCACCACTCCAGCCCAGTCACAACTCGTACAAAAGCAGTGGTCTCTGTTCTCCTCAGTGTGCTCCCAAAATGCTCCGACTGGTGGGGCCWCATCCCATCCTTCCTCCAGCCCTATCCCAGAGCTGGAAAACCTGGATGGAGCAAGTAGAACCAGACTGATGGTAAATAGTTCTATCAGGTATGGTGTACTGTGACATCGGGGAGTATCCACGTTTGAGCCAGCTGAACATTCATCCCCCTTTACCCTCTGCTCTCCTCCATCCCATCCCAT